CCTCACAGCAAATCCTCGTGTCTGCTCAGTCCTCTTAAACCGCACGCACCCTGTGCAGCGTCTTTAAGCTTCTGTTTTCCTTCTCTGTGCAGGCTGCTAAAAGTTTCCTATCGCACAGCCCCTCTGTTTGAGATAACTTTGGCTTTGAGTAAAGTACTGCTCTCCCTCAGTTCTTTACTGAACTCCAATTTGGCCAAAGCTCCTCTCTCATTGAGTCCTGCCATGAGTTCCTCTCATTGGACATCAACACTAGTCTTACTGTTCAAGACATGGTCCCATCGTACTTGCCTCTATCAATATCTCAATTCCATTGCACACTTTCTAGATTTTTGGTCCTCTCCCCTTGATACTTTCCACTACAGAGCCCCTAATTCTCTGGGAGACCTTGTGATAAATGCCCTCAAAGGCATCCTGCTGTGTCCTCCTTCAGATCCGTCCTCCAGACTCTCCTCTTCAGTTTATTTTGCCCTGCAGCACATTCCCCAATGTTTCTGCCTTTCCCCTTGCAGCTGAGCCTAAGAGACGAATAATCAACATTTTTTCCCTCTCTTTAATTCAGCCTGAGGGCCCTGCTCTGTGAGGAAAGGTGCAATTTTATGTTAGAGCTAAGCTGAGCTAATATTTAACTGCTACAAACAAGTGCCCTACCTCTTTGCTTTCCTCTGCCTGGTCCCAGTTGCTTCTTTCACCTCCATTTTGGCATTCTTTACAATAAGATAAGTCAGCCCTCATCCCACACAGAGCTAGAGCTACTGGAGGGGGGGAGGGGAAAGAGAAGAGAAGAGAAGAGAAGAGAAGAGAAGAGAAGAGAAGAGAAGAGAAGAGAAGAGAAGAGAAGAGAAGAGAAGAGAAGAGAAGAGAAGAGAAGAGAAGAGAAGAGAGCATATTATGCTAATTTTACTCACTGAACATACAAGTACTTTGAAAGGAAGGAGTGCTGGTAGGAGATATTGTCTCTTCCACTAGCCATTAGGCGCTAGCTTTGCTCAGCTTTACAGTGAAACCTTGGGCACAACAGTAACACAAATAATAACACTGATGCTGATCAGGGTGCAGCAGAAGTAGAAGCCTCAGATAACTGCTGGGAGCAGGGATTAGAAAGAATGAGATAACATGGATTATTCCTGACTCGTTCCCTTCCAAGAAAAGGGGAAATAAAGGAGCCAGGTCCTCCAAATCACAGCCGAGTCCCTACTCTTCCCCCATACCAATGGAAATACATGCTCCACTCCAAGTAGAGAGAGAGAAAAAGGGGCAATAGCCCCCCTAAAGCACCGATGCTCCGAGTCACACAGCAGAAGAGCAGCCATATCTTGCACCCTTCTCTTCACAGCACAAAGCCCTTCTCCAGCCACCTGCAGTACATTACTGTTAAATATTAAACTTCTGTTAATTATTACGGAGTCAGCTTAAAATCCTGCAACTCATTAAATCTCTCTCTTACCTGGAAGCTCTATTTTTCCCCGTCCCTCTAAACAGCAATCAGAAAACAAAGTGAGCGATCTATTTCCTTTATGTCAACTCCCTGATTACTTAATATTTATTAGATATTAGTCATGCAACAGATGTGCCAACCACCAATAGGGACCTCAGCTGATGAACAGTTACAGTATCTATTCATCTGTGTTTGAAAAATTCAGGCATGCTGAATAGGAGATGCTGATGATTGCTGTGATTTGTGAGGAGGTAAGGAAAGGGGGCTGGATGAAGGGAGAAAAGTATTTTATCTTTTCTGACTTGTCTCATGCACAAAGATCAAGGAGAGGAAGATTGGTGCAGTGATCTAACCAATTTAGTCTGGAGAGGACTTCTGGGTGTCTCTGATCCCACCATCCCTGCAGAGCAGGGCTAATTTCAGCGTTACATCAGGGTGTGCAGAGCTTTGTCCACCCCCCGTCCTGAATGTCTGTGATATCCAGACTTAGCCTAATCATTTTTCTCCGAGAAATTACCTCCATGATGTTCAGTGGGTCACACAATGCTTATGTGTAAGACGAAGAACCTTGCCTTACCTTATAGGTATTTGTAAGACTATGTACTCAAGAGAAAGAAAATGCAGTACTCTCTAGAAAGAACTGAGTAAATATCTTTCAGTGTGTAAATAGAAAGGCTCCTCATTTTTCAAAAGACGCATAAACACTTAACTGATAGTGACTGAAATAACGCTTAAAGTATTTGGAGATTGACATTTCTCTCTCGATTTGCCAGCAAGGTGAGTCAGGACACCGGAGTTCTGGTCTCTGCTCTGCCACTGAATCACATGGTGGAAATTAAAAGATAATCAACAGTAGGACAACTAACTCCATTTTCCCTAACCACTGTCTTATGGCTAACTCCTGCTGGGCGTCACAGTGAGTTGAACTGGATAGAACTGGCTACAAGTTTTTCCACGAAAATTCCTTTTTCTTTGCTCTCTATCCTGGACATATAGCCAATCAAGAGAGTGTTAGATAGTAACTATACCAACCAAAGACATGCGTGCAAGTCACTCACTCATGCTGATGGGGCGAGTCTCTGCCTGATCTGCCTATCGGACATGCTTCCCCTGCAGCTGCCGGTGTATGCGTCTGTGTGAAAATAAAGGCTCTCTATAAACTAAATTATGACAAGTAGAGTTTTTCTACGACAACACTGTGACTTTGAGGGAAGACAGTGTCATCAAGGCCAATATACCCAGACTTGGGTGCCTAAAGGATCTCGCCTGTGTAAAGGACTTAGTAACTTAATTTCAGAAAAACTCTCACCAGAGTCAAGAGAAGGATGAGCTCTGATTTCAGTAGCTTAATAATCTTTCATTTCAATTTCAAAGATTTCAATAATCTTTCATTTTTTGTTTCAGTAGACTTTTGTTAGCATCCTGGTTTTCAGATCTCCAAGTAACTGCAGTTTCTGTTGACTGTGGTACTAGCTGTTTTGTGTTGAAGCTGATCCTAATAAGAGGTCAAAGAACATACAGCTCAGTAAACTCGTATTTCTATGTCACCTGTATCACCTACCTACAATATCACACACATAGGTTATAAAAACAGTTTATCTCCTCACATATGAAAATAGGAAAGGCACAAGATATAGTCCTTTTTGTATATGGAAATGAAATTGCTAGTTAAGAGAGCTAACTATTAGAATAAAACAAATCCCACAGAATAAATTCCAGTCTCATAAAAAAACTCAGGTTCAGTTTTTATTTTCATTCTAAACCAGGAAGAATTGGAAAATAAGTGTTTGGAACATGGAAACACCTTGGAATCAAAAATGTGAGAACTTCATTTGTATTGTTCAAACACTTTCGAAGCATTTCAAGAGGCACATTTTCTCCTGAGGCAGTCTCATCTTTCCTCTGACAATTGCAGACGAATGTGTTCATGGTTCAAAAACCAACCGTGGAAATTTTTTTTTTCACTGTTTCAGCACTGTATTACATTAGCCATGTTCTAATGCTTAACTGCTCACCTTTCAAGCACCGAGGTAACCCAAACCACTGACACATTTAGAGCAGATGAGCCTGGATTTAGAGTCAGACTGGTTGAACCTGACCTTCCGCTGCCTTGCAGGCTTTGGAAATCTTTCTTGCTTTTAAAATTAGAAATTTAACCGACCCACTTTGAATGGATATTTCAGTAAAAGGCTTTTGAGAAAACCCCTTCTGAGGGAACCATTTCCTTTAACCTGTATATCTTACTCTGAGAGGGAAACTGAATTATATATTTAACTTTTGAAACATCAGCATCTTTTAAAACAACCTAATATAGGTCACGGCAATCCCAGAAACTGCAAACTAAATTCTACCCTCATTTACACTCTCCTTTGGATGGCGTAAAGGTGAGGAGGGGAATCTCTCTGAAGTCGGCATCAAAGTATCAGGGTTTCCCCTGGTAAAATCCCCAGACAACAGAAGTCAAAAGGAGGGACAGCCTTGAAGCAGGTCAACTTCTCCAGGGCTGCAGCCCCCTTATAGTACCCCAGTAAAAAACTAAGAAAAAACACTCACCTGAGTAGGAGAAAGAGATCCTGATTGTCATCATACCAAGCGCAGTCACATACATTAAAATAGTGCATGTTTAAATACTAGGGTGGCAGAAGTCATTTTGCATCTTACAGTCTTCACAAGGTTTCTCTCACATCCCTCTTCAGCCTGCCACACTTAGGAATTTAGGGTTTGACTACGTCCATCAGGCTTCCCAAGACCTCTTTTCTTAGGGTCTCAGCCCTGTCTTACAGCACAAGTACATGAAGTGAACTCAAAATTGTGGCAAGCTCAAAAACAATTGAATTTTTTTTTCCCTTGATGGAGAATGACCGAACTTGGGGACTCACTATGACAAGCATTCAGTTCAAAACTTACATATCACAGCTGAGATATATACATTCGTAAAAATATCCTAATCCAGACTAGGAGATTTGAGAAAAAAATTGAGAAAATCTAAGTGCTCAGACATCAAGGCAAGCGACAGCATTTACTAAGTATGGAGAGCTATCACATGGGGGCCAGCTGTCCCGCATCTCCCCGATTCAGGAAGAGAAGACATTAGACTGAGTGAGGAGCAGACTGATTCAGTCTGGCGGTGCCAGTGGCTTTAGTGTTTTTGTTACCTACATCATCTCAAGTAGATGCAGTGCGTCATCTTACATTTGATTAGATGATCCCTCCATTCCCAGCTCAAACTCCCATACTTTGCACCCACTTGCTGCAGCGTGTGTGCCAATTTGTCAGTGGTTTCTAACATTGATTTTTGCTACTACTTGAGTGACAATAGTTAATGTAATGACATCATCTACAGATCTAAGAAAGGGTGAACCCATATCCTGTCTCCCTACTGCGTGAATGGAATATATATGCATAGACCTTTTTAATTTAAGTTATGGTCAAAAACCACAGTTAAGATTGGGAAAAAACCACCTACTCCACAACACAAGAACCCTTATAAAAAGTCCAGCAGTAAATGTGCACAGACACCTTCAGCTGACAGAGCCTATCCACCGCAGTAAGAGAGAGAAGTAGGATGTCTCCGACTGTTTGTGCTTCTCTGGTAAGAACTTGCTTTGTGTTTTCTCTAATTTGATAGAGATACATTTAAATTATAATAGGTAACTATGAGGAATGGGGATCTATATCCACCTTTAAAACATTTGTTTAATCTATTAGTAGCTGTAGAAGAACTATATGCCCTTAACTACCAACTAGTCAAGTACGAACGACTTTCCCAGCCCCACAGAAGAACTGTTAGGCATGCTGCGTTACAGTACCTGCACCTGCATTGTGTCCTAAATGAGTCTTTTGTCTTCAGTTCAGACCACTGTTGCTCACGCTGCTGGCCATGCTCTCAGCCAGCAGTCCTGCCTATGGGAAAGTAGTACGGCCTGGGCTCAAGCTGGGGAGCCTCTTCAAACAAGCAGATGCTGGTTGCCTGACCCCGAAAGAATTCCCTCAAAATGTGAAAGTCGACATAAGTATCAGCAACATAAACCAGGACACCAAAATGGCTAGTGATGTCAGCAGCCGGTCATTGGCTCCATGGGATTACAGGTATGATCTCTGTTTCTATTGTTAAGAAATACGCTGGTTTCCCTGGTCATGAGTAAGCAGAGGCTTTACTTTACTTTCAGAACTATAGTGCTGAGAAGTCTTGGTGATGTAAGGATAGCCACAGTCTGCATAATCCCCCTTGAAAGCTATCCAACACAGAAAGGAGCACAGAGTAAAAGTATGGTCTGGAATAACTTACAGAAGACAAAGCAAATTACCTTTGTGACGTAATTTATTTATTTATTTATTGGAGCAAGCTTTATTTTCAAATGCATTCTTTATCTAAGAGATCATCAGAACGACCTCAGATGGTCAACACTGCACCAACTACGTCGCTGGTGGCTTAATAACTTCAGAACTGGGCCTTAAGAACACCTTTTTGAGAGGGAGCTGAAGGTCTTGGGCACCATTAGTCAATCTGTAGAGCTCAAATCATTTCTAACTGGTCTTTCAAAGTCAGCGGCCATTTGAACCAGGCCCTTTGCAAAGGCAGCTGAATAGTCCTGGCATGCTTGTCCAAGTTACACTTCAAATCCTATGGTAGCGCAGGGTTTAGTGTCCTTTCTTGGGCAGTCTGTTCCAGGGGTTATAGGTCCTCAAGCTGAGAGCCCAGAGCAATCGAAACCACCACATCTCCCAAGACGCAACAGCGCTTCCATTTCAAGTACTTCCCTATCCTTTCATTCCAATTTACAGAATCGATGAAGACCCCAACCGCTTCCCCCACGTGATTGCTGACGCCCAGTGCCGCCACTCCAGTTGTGTGGACTTGGCTGGGCAGCTCGACTATAGCGTCAACTCCGTCCCGATCCGTCAGGAGATCCTCGTCCTCCGTCGGGAGCGGAGGGGCTGCCAACATTCATATCGGCTGGAAAAGAAAACGATCACTGTGGGCTGCACATGTGCCAAGCCAGTCATCCGATATCAAGCTTAAAAGGGAGCTGAAAGATCTATTTGTGTAATTCTATTTATACTGATGGAAAAGTTAGCAATAATGTATGTTTATTTATCTTTATGCAATAAAAAAAAAAAAAAACTAGCAATCAAGTCTACAATATTCTCCTTTCTTTCTAATGAAACCTCTTCTGCTAAGGCAAGAAATTACTCAATTCTACTATTACCGTCTGATCATGTACGAGATTTGCATGATACCAGCAACTAAAATTCTCCTGATAATATCTTCTTCTGTTGTGATAGAACTCAAAGCACAAGGGCAAGTATCATTAACACCATTTTACAGATGAACTAAGATACCTGAAGCAAAATGATTTACCGAGGTACACTCAACAGATTCACAGTAAAAATAGACTAGCAAAAAAGTAACGAATAGTTACCCAATTATCCACATAATTAGCCAATTAGAAAGAAATTTGCAAAGAAAGCTTCAGCACAACACTTTGAATCTTTCTTAGGTGGAAAAGAAGCTCTTCCCCCCTCCCTTCCAAAACATAGAGAGTGCTTACAGTGTTAAAACTTCACTTTGGTCTGACGTTGTCTCTAAATTTCAACATAACCCAGTTCAACACATTTTCTGTGCTACAGGCTCATTACCTGAGTACAAGATGAACAGCGTACAAGTGAATCAGGTGGATAATTGAAGCAGTTAACTTCTGATCAGAGAAAATGCAATTGTAATTTCCTTCGTGCTCACATCCTTCCAATACATTTGCTGCCACCAGTTAACGCTTCGGGGACCTCTCGAATGTAGAGCACAATGACGTAGCATTTCTACAGTGGTTGCAATGGGATTCACGTAGGTGGAAATCTACCTCTGTAGGTGCTTTTATTTAAAGCACAGTTAGATTAAAAGTGCTCAGATGAAAATGTTCCATGTTTCAAATGACTGGCTGGCTCATGAAGACGCGGATGTTTTGTTTGCTGCTTTTCCGGGGAGGTGTGACCATCTTAGTCATCCGTGAAACATCACTGGCAAATGCAATAGAAAATACTGATTTTCCAAAGACAGAGCTCCGGGATGCAAAGCCCTGTGGAGAGGCAACGTCTTCTCAAGGAAAGCACCTCCTCTAGATCTAACTATGCCAACTGAAGATGTTTTCACCCCAATTTCTACTGCTGCAGGTTATTGCCCACATCTGTGCCAAGGAGACGGAGCCCTCCCTAGTGCACTACAGGCAAAATCAGGCAGAGCAGCTTATACAGCCTAAGCCTAAGGCACAGTCAGAGATTTCACACCATCCTACAGTGGGTCAAGGAAGCTTTAACAAGGTAACTTTGAGTGATGATAGTATCTGCAGCCGCAGCAGTGAACTCCTGTCCACAGCTGTAGTATCCTCAAACAAGAACAGATTTAACTTTGCCAGCATGTAAGTGTCCAGTAATATAAGAGATCCTAACTTAGCTTATGTCCTACCTCGTCTCCGGCTATTCCTCCTTAAGGTCTCCCAAGGTCTGAAGTTCAGTTCAGCTGGCAGTCCCAAGCAGACTTAAGCATGGGAAGAGACTGCCAAAAAACAGCAAGAAACACTTTTCCTCTGAGGTTTTCAAGAAGTTAGATAAATATCAGTCAGGGAATATTAAAATAGAGCTGACTGGCTTGTCCATCAGATAATCTCTCACTGTCCTGCCATTTGCTATTGAATGATTTTAAGCAATTTGTTAGAAGCCGTTCAACTTCTAACCACTAAAATTAAGGTAAGGAACACCCTTTACTGCCTGGTACTGGTATGCAATTTAGCTGAGGTTGGCACATGAGTAATGGAGACTAGTTAGCAATTCTGAGAGAGAACTACTATGTGGGAAATGTCACAAGCAGAAAGTCAGCATTAGTTCACACAGCTGGAGTACCAAAATGTGGACAGCTTTCTGCTGACAGGCTGCAAAGATACTCCCGGCACTCTTCCAGAGGTGTCAGTCTGCCTTGGATCATTTACCAGCTCAACGAAATCTGTACCTGAGGACACAACTTTTTCATTTACCTGGCTGGCCTTATGCCAGCTTCATGCTAGCCTCTGAAAGCTGCTTGGGTCTTGCCCATTCTCTAACAGAGGTATTTAATGGTGTGACTGCCTGGATTAATTTGGTGAGAGGATTTTTTTTTTCTTCTACTATGAGTTCTCTTGTGACTTCTGGCATCATGAGCTAACAGGTCTTTCTTTTCATTGCTATGTCCGGGTGATAAGGTGCAGAATAAGTACAAACCAATGCACCTTGCCATGAGGTGACCTAACCAGTGCCTTTGTTTCTCTGAGTAAATGTTCATGACTACAGTCAATAATGATCACAACAGGAGACTGAGGAGAGTAGGACCCCTCTTTCACCTTTGCACAGCTCCTATCAGTTTGAGGTTCAACAGTTAACACTTTTTATCTTTCTCGTCTAGGAGAATTTCAGTGCGAATTCTTCCTGATTTGATGTCCTGCAATGAAATCTGGGGTTGGGGGGAGTGCAAAACCTTTTCATCAAAAGGTGTTTCCAGTCCTGCGCGGCTCCTTATCTCAGTTTCCTGTCAGTTTGAAAATCTGAGCAACAGTAGCTTAACAGTCAGAAAGTGCTAGGCAACCAGCAAGTAAAAACAAGCAGAAAGGGAAGTTTGAGATTGGATTTGTGTGGCACACAATCAGATAAACATTCTCATCAGTGCCAGCTATCAAAGCAAGTCAAGCAGTTTTGCAAACCCTACTGACTGAAGGGGGCCAGGATACGTGAACTCAGTTCAGATTTCAGAAGTCTGAAAGAAAAAGCAAACCCCCCAAAATTGTAGGGGTAATTTAGAGAGCAGATAGACCATCTTTATTTACTTACTGAAATGGGGAACCTTAATCATGATACAAGCAAATTATACTTGGTAAGAATGCAGATAAACCAGAAACACTATGCTCTATGCTGATTTAGAAAACCACCAGAGCTGACCCATTCACTCACAGCAAGCTGTGTCCAGAAAACAGTGTTTTGAGTACAGCCTGCTTAGTTTATGACCCTCAAAGAGTACCAAACACATTTGTAAACTTTTTTTGAAGTTACTAGAAAATGATGAAAAAAACGGAGCTAGCTTTCCTGAAAAAGGAATCAAAAAGAAAAGAAAGTTACGCAGAAAGAAGGAATGGATTCATCTATCTGAGGAGCTGAGAGCAAGAAGCTCCTACTTCTATCCTTGGAAGTACGGAAAGTATCAAAGACAAAAAGTATGTATGTGTATGAGTAGCGAAGACAGAGAGTGTGGCTTTTGTTTCTGATGCTGACTCTGACTGGCTGCTTCTCAGCTCCTGAACACTAGCCTCCAGCACATGGTCACATCCCCATCAACAGCTCTGAGCCTAGCAAGCAGTATCAGATGATCAAAGACATTATTTAAGCAGCCTTTTTGGTCGCAGCCTTACAAGTGTTGTAGAAGATGCAGTCTTCGCTCACTAACCTAGATTTTTCTTGAGCACAAAGTTAAAGAAAAATTAGAGTGCAAAGAAATGAAAGGAAGAAGGTAAAGGAGACCAGGGAGGGAGATGAAAGCAAGTCTTACATTTCACAGAAACACAGAATGGTTGAGGTTGGCAGGGACCTCTGGAGATCATCTAGTCCAGCCCCCCTGCTCAAGCAGGGTCCTCTAGAGCACATTGCCCAGGATCACGTCCAGACGGGTTTTGAATATCTCCAGGGAAGGAGACTCCACTACCTCTCTGGGCAACCTGTTCCAATGCTCTGTCACCCTCACAGTGAAGAAGTTTTTTCTCAGGTTCAGATGGAACTTCCTGTGGTTCAGTTTGTGCCCATTGCCTCTTGTCCTGTTGCTGGGCAGCACGGAGAAGAGTCTGGCCCCATCCTCTTGACACCCTCCCTTCGGATATTTGTATACATTGATGAGATTCCCCCTTCAGTCTGCTCCAGGCTGAACAGTTCTAGCTCCCTCAGCCCTTCCTTGTAGAAGAGATGCTCCAGTCCCCTGATCATCTTTGTAGCCCTCCGCTGGACTCGCTCCGGGAGCTCCATGTCACTCCTGTATTGGGGAGCCCAGAACTGGACACAGTACTCCAGGTGAGGCCTCCCCAGGGCTGAGGAGAGGGGCAGGATCACCTCCCTCCACCTGCTGGCAACACTCTGCCTAATGCACCCCAGGAGACCATTGGCCTTCTTGGCCACAAGGGCAC